GTTCCCATAGTCCGATCATGCTCGTTCGCGAACTCGTTTGAATAAACGTATGTTTACACGTTTGTACCAAATTTCATCAAAATCGGATGATTTTTGCTCGAGTTATCGCGCTAACGGACACATATATATATATATATGAATTTGAACGGATGGTGTTTTTGGCCTCAAGGGACCTCAAAACAAAAAATTAAATCGGTCCCGGGTCCAGGTCTTACCATGAGTACTACGGTAATAGCTTATTCCCTATATGGGAAATTCGCTAAAAACAGTTTTTCCAACTATCATATGACGTCACCAATCATCATATCCACAGACCAAGCGACGCAGTTGTCGGACAGACATCCCTGTAGACCACTGCAGAGAATTCAAGGCCTTCAAATAGACTGTTACAAAGATATAAGCGTTTTCATAACATTGGAACACTGACACAAATATGCGACGTACAGTCTATTTTAATGTGAAATATGTATGCTATATATATGTATATATTTGCTAGGCAGTATATGAGTAGAAACCGGCCGTCGCATATGTGCGTCGTTGGTCCATATGAATGAAAAATTTTGTACTATTGCGGTACGTAGCGAACGTGTTTTAAAGTAACCAAAACTGGAAATAAACATGTCCTATGTCTTAATAATTTATAATTAAAAAATTTTTTTAAACAAAACGTTTTTAAACGCCCTAAAAAGTAGAAAATAATTTACAAATAATTTATAAATATGTTGAGTGAGTATAAATACTTGTACGATTTAAAACGAAAAACGTGGGGTGCTTGCAATAGATAGTTTACAATTACCTTCACCTACTGAACTAATGTATTATTATCAATTAATTGCATGCACCCAACGTTTTTCATTTTAAATCGTACAAGTATTTATACTCTCTCAACATATTTATAAATTATTTGTAAATTATTTTCTATTTTTTAGGGCGTTTAAAAACGTTTTGTTTAAAAAAGTTTTTTATTTATAAATTATTTTATACTTTTTAGTTTTAATGTGTGTGCATGTTAAATCTATTTCAAGCATCTATATCAGATTAAGACAGAGGCATGTGGGAAATCTAAGGTTTATTTGAGTTTCTTTGCATATAATTATGTATTAGATTGCATGTATGGCCTAAACTATAAATATATCAATCTATTTAATCGCAATTTTTCTGAAATATAGTACTTCTCTGCAATGCATTCACTCGAAATATTTATTGTTTACTTTATGGAATACTAAATAAACAAAAATTGACATTATTTACAAACACCTTGATACCTGCAATCAGATTGTTTATCTTTATTTTGAAATGTTTGTTTGTATAAAGAATCTCTTGGGAGCATAACCTGTACCTCTTAACCTCTGCTCTTCGAACTGTCAAATTTAAGTATTTACAGCTGACTTAAATTAGTTGATATATTTACATCCTTTCAAAATGTAAACTTGAAAAATTTGGAAGCCCATGGGGCGTAGCCCAAGGGAAATATGAAAATTAAATGATATAATATTGCATTGTTATGCATTTGTGAGCTATGTTTCAAATTTCAAGTCTCTAGCTTATCGGGAACATCGTTTAAAATTGATATCAAAATTTGTAGGAAAGCGAGCTAATAAAAACAAGCCCATGAGGCGTAGCCCGAAAGGAAATATGAAAATTAAATGATATAATATTGCAATTACATCCATTTGTGAGCTATGTTTCAAATTTCAAGTCTCTAGCTCATCGGGAAGTATCAAAATTTGCAAGAAATCGATTTAATAAAAACAAGCCCATGGGGCGTAGCCCAAGGGAAATATGAAAATTAAATTGTATAATATTGCATTGTCTTCCATTTGTGAGATATGTTTCAAGTTTCAAGTCCCTAGCTCATCGGGAAGTTAGTATAAAATCGGTTGCAAAATTTGTAGCGGACAAGAAAGCGACCTAATAAAAACGTTTTAAAATTGAGCAAAACTATAGCATAGTCATGTGAACCTGATTGTCAAGTTAAGAACTACACTGTGCTTGGGATTTTGGTTAACTTATGCTTGGGGAGTGTTCAGCATACCTCTCTCATTATTTTGGTGTCTGAAGTTCCTTGGGTTCTGAGTTTGTCATTTAAAACTGTCAATGCACATGCTGTTTGTTATTTTAGGACTTATTGAAGATATGCACTAAAAGTGGAAAACCTTGTGAAAATCTGTGTAAACTTCATATTCCAAATGGCAAAGACTTCAAATGTAAGCAGGAGTCAGAGGAAGATGAAAATCTTGAACACCATTTTGCAGAAGTAGCTCTTGCTTCTCCCAAAGTGTCTATTTCTCTTCACCGAAATAGCAGCTGGTATAAAGTCTCGTCGATTGAAGAAATATTTGAAATTTTTTCAATGATTGAAGGCACATACATGTTAGTTGGAGGGAACACAGCTCAAGGTAATATCCATAAAGATTATCGTCAAATTTGAAAAGGACAATGAAAAAAATGAGAAAATTATTTATGTAAAAGATAAGTAAAATTTCCTGCAAAGGCTGAGCCACAGTCTTCATATTTTATACCTCAAACCTCGTCCCTGTATGTAATAATCGTTTTATTAATACATTTAATACTTGAAATTTCATAAGAGGATTAATCTTAGCTTATTAAAATATACAGGGTTGTCCGTAAATTAAAGGTCTCCATCAAGCTCATCCTGAGACATCCAAGCGAGATAGTTCAAACTGAGCCCATTGATGTATTCCTTACCTTCCTATACCTTACCGTACCTCCTACTTCTATTCATCTTCTATCTCCTTCTCCTATAGAACCATTAGTCTCGTCATGGACTCAAAAACATTTTGAAAGAAAATCGACACTCCCACTAAGTATAGATGATGTTCCCTGAATAAGATAAGATATCAATCAACCAATCAATCAATCAATCAAATCTTTATTCAGAACGTACAGATACATCGTACATGAATGCGTCATTATGTTATTTTTAAATAACATAAATATATTACATAAAGATAAAAGATTTATATAACAGCAGTTTTTAGATAAAATAAATACATTACTTAAAGTTAGATAAAATAAATACATTAGGTAAACTCAAATAAACCTTAGATTTCCCACATGCCTCTGTCTTCTGATATAGATGCTTGTAATATATTTAATATCCACACACATTAAAAACTAAAAAGTAGAAAATAAATTATAAATAAAAAACTTTTTAAAACAAAACGTTTTCAAACACACTAAAAAGTACAAAATAATTTATAAATATGTGGAGATTATAAATACTTTTAAGATTTAAAACGAAAAACGTGGGGTGCATGCAATAGGTAATTTACAATTACCTTCACCTATTGAAGTATTATTATCAATTGCATGCACCCCACGTTTTTCGTTTTAAATCTTAAAAGTATTTATAATCTCCACATATTTATATTATTTATAAATTATTTTATACTTTTTAGTGGGTTTGAAAACGTTTTGTTTTAACAAGTTTTTTATTTATAATTTATTTTCTACTTTTTAGTTTTTAATGTGTGTGGATATTAAATATATTACAAGCATCTATATCAGAAGACAGAGGCATGTGGGAAATCTAAGGTTTATTTGAGTTTATTTTCATATAATTATGTATTAGATTGAATGTATGGCCTTACCTACTATAGCTCGGCCGCTTAGAAAACGACCTGCGAGCTAATGCTAAACCAATGCTGGAGGAGGTTGTTTTCTAAGCAGCCGAACTATAACTATAAATATATCAATCTATTTAATTTATTGTTTACTTTATAGAATACTAAATAAATAACAGTTAACATTATTAACAAACACCTTTATACAGGGTTAGTAAAAAGTCTGGAGACCCCCTGTTAATTTTTTAACGGACCAAACTAGAAAAACTAAACTCGGCACACCTTTATGGCATGTTATGAAGTACTTTTTGGGCATAACCGCGACTTGGTGTACATCCCCAAAATAGGGCTTGTGACATTTTTGAATTAGCTGTAAAATAAAGGTTGCTAAATATAGTTAAGTGTATCGGTAGTGATTTGATTTAGCCACTCAGCTAATTTATATATTGCAGGTATCCTAGAGGACAAGTACCCTGCTCCCCCGGAGACGTACATTGATGTTAACGGAGTGGCAACACTGCGGAGTCACAGGTTTGATGGAGACAGTCTAGTGTTGGGAGCCAACATGACTCTGACAGACACAATGCGGCTGTTTGATGCTGTAGCCACGTTACAACCTGCACAGTTTAAGTACCTCTCCACTCTTAGAAGGCACATGGAGAAAGTGGCGCACATTCCAGTGAGAAATGTAAGCGTTTACACTTGATATTATCACTCAATCAAAGTGATATTATAAATCACTCAATATTAAGCTGTCAGAGTTTATCAGTGGTGTAGTCAGGAAGTTTCTAGTGCTACACCATTGTCTAAGAACTGACCAGACCACAGGAGGAGTTGTTAGTAGGTGTTCACAATTTCGCTGTTATTGTAGGTGTAGATTGTGATTTCTCCATTATCACAGGATACATATATTATGTATGACTTATTAGATTGCTATTTAAAATTGCTAGAACCCATGCAGTTATTGTCAAGCTATGACTCAAAACCTGGGTTTCTTAGCTTTTATAGGATTCTTGGTGAAGGCAGAGTGTGAAAGCTCTTACCTTGCGTTTCCGTTCCACGACATCACATGGGATTAACTATTTATAGGCTTTAATCCTTTCTAAAAATTTACTTCTCTTTATTAGCCAATGGAGTCATACTCATTTCATGATAAAATTTACATCAGCATACTCTGTAGGTTGTTCAATTCAACTTCTGTAAGGTCATTGTTATACTGGCTATCCATAGTCAACGTTCCTGATCATTGGGCTTTAAATAAATGACCCTGACTGATGAATCAGCTGATCTTAGTCAGTAACAAAGCTACACCGATCATCTCACATCATTCTACAGTCTACACTCATCCTTCGCTCATATTTGGGTTGAATACGCACCTAGGTAGTGTCCCCATCTCAGAATTAATTCATTGATTGGTGGATATATTACCGTGCTTTAAGATAGTTTGAGACCATGTTTGTACCAAGGAGAATCACTTTTTACAGGTTGGCACATTGGCTGGAAACCTATTTTTCAAGCACCAATATCCAAAATTTCCTTCTGATCTTTTTACAATATATGAGACAGTTGGAGCCAAGCTGATTATTGGTAAGTTAAAGGTGAAAAGTAATAATTAAGAAAGTGAGTTAAATAATTTTAGAGATAGTGATAGTAATTTATATGCTCGGTTTTTGAAATATACTTAGACACACACTGGTGATAGTTAGCTTGAGACAGAGCAATGTTCAGTTTAGATACATTAAATAAAAATTATCTATGCTCGGAGCTACACATATTATGTAAATGCAAATAAAAATCTTACGTTACTGTTATATTTAACTTTTTATAAATGGTATTGACATTTTCTAAATTATTTTTAGTGAATGATCCAAATCCTTATATTGTTATTATCTAACATCAACCTTTGGTTAAATAGTATCTATATCTATCTATCTATATATATAATACGTGAAGCCGTTTTTTGTTAACACAACTCCTCCCTTATTTATGGACCGATTTAAACGTTTAAGGTGTCAAAAGATTTGTCTTAATATGTAGTTTTGCAATAAGGTTTTAGAATTTTAAAATTCCTACTCTTTAGGGTGTGAGACCCTCTCAAAGGTCGGATTTTCTCCATAAGAAATACACAGAACAAATTTAAAAACAAAAAAAAGCTGTTTATAAAAAGAAACTTTTTATTACCCATTAGCTTTTTGGGAGTAAATATTAATGTTTGTAATATTGAGTAGGTTAAGACCAAGTTAAACAGTTAATCAGTTTTGTTGCAAGAACAGAAAATGCCTCAAGTTCAAAGAAGAAATATCCCCCCGTTTTCAGGGAGGAGGAAACAATTAATAATAAGATATCTTATGCGTATGAGGAGAGTAGAAAAAGAGAGGTCTCTAACAGGTACCCATCCAGATACACATTCACTTGGTGAGATGAATAATATTTGCCAGTTCTGCTATGCAACTTACTTTGGAAATGAAAAAATATACGAAACACATTCTGTTGTCACAATGGTAAAGTAAACTTGCCTAATGTCAGATCAAATGAATGCATGCGAGAAATGTTTACTTCTGACACTGACAGATCTCAAAACATATAGTACAAACAATAATAATGCCTTGACTATGATAAGTTCAAGTAGTAAGATTATACCAAATCTTGGCGGACCTTATGTTTTTATTGGAAACTTTTGTATTAATCGCTATACTTTAATTGAAAAAAAAAAACGCAAATGGATTGTTTACTTCTAGGTTATGTTGCCAGTTCCTTGAACAAACTTATACAACGTTTTTTGACTGAATTCACCAACACAAAACAGACATTTCAAGTCAAAAATAAGAAGTTTCAAAAACACATTTGCTCAAAGATTTAGCGGCAATATTAGAACAAGCATGAGTGAAGGAATTAGTGTCAATGATCGAGTTGATACGGTCAAGTTTATTTTTATTATGATTCAGGAGACGAAAATAATATACGCTGTTCAAAAAGAGAAAATGGAAATTGTTATCTAAATCTTATAGCTACAAGAGTTAGTAATCCAACCTATTTCGACAAATGAATCCATACTTTCAAAACTTTGGGACAGGTATAAAGAAAAACTCCACTGAACAATGTGAGAACGTTTTCATGCGGGGCATATTCTGTGACTGACAGACATCACGTTAAAATACCAACTTTCAATAGTGTTGCTACTTTAACCTATTCAAAGCAGATTATGGCTGTCCAGTTGGTAACCCAGAGTTTGTAAGTAAAAAATGGAGCACATGGAATGGTTGATATATCACCCCACTTTTCAGGATTCTCTACAGAAAAAAATTTGTTTGATTAGGGGGATGTCTCAAATCAAAGAAATAAAATGACCCAACTTAAATGACTTAATACAGTTTATCAATAAGGCAACAGTTTTCTTTATTTTTTAATGCTGGAAAAACTTTGTTGCAACATGTTAACTCGAAGTGAAGCAGATCGTTTAGCATTCATTAGAAGTTATCAGTTGAAACCGAGAGCAGAAATAATGTAGGTAGGTGAATGTAGGTGAACCTTGACGACGCAAATAGAGATATTTAAAATTAGTTTCTAACAAGTGTTTAAACAACTTTAAGATGTAACCAGAATTGGTCGAATTCAAGCATAACGTTTTCCGCGGCGTTATGTTTCATACTATGCGGCTCATTGAGCCGAACGGGTTCTCTAGTACCTAATTAATTAATTGATAACCCATCAAAAAAATATTTGGGACCAGAAAGGATCTCACTTGGAATCAAACAAAAACAAGTGACCTTCATATTTGAAGGAGAGCACTATAACTTGGCAATCCAGACAATTTTGAGAATGAGAATCAATTACTACTATTACTATCATTGATGATAGTATGGTAAATGTGTAACGCATGGGGAGATAAATTAAAATTGTAAATTAGTCCTGGCTTTTGAAGAGTTTTTGTAGTTTACAGCGTTGCCAATTTTGCACCTTTGAATCCAGTTATACCATAAGAGTACATAAATTATTGTGAGAAATTACAATTAATTAAATTAATTATTCTCATACTAAAGTTTCATTAAGCTGATTCCAGTAAAAATATTTAATATCTTTTGCCCTGAACATACTAAGTGGAAAAATCTATACCTATCATTATGGTTCTACTATCATTCAAATGGTTGAAAATAACATTGTGCCATATAAATTCCAATAACAGAAGGGACTGCTAAATTTTTAGAACGGCAAATTGCAAAATAAACTTCTATGGTTTATGGTGTGAAAGTCCATGTTTCTCTATAAAAAGATCAGGATTTAGACATACAGCAGCATTATTTTTTTAGTCTGATACCTACAGATAAGGTACCGGTAATTTGGTTTCAGATTCTGGAAGCGGTGAGATGTTAACAGTTTCATTCCCTGAGTTCCTAGCCACAGATATGTACAAGAAAATCATCACAAACATAGTATTTCCTCCTCTTGACTGCACTTATGTTGTTAGGACTTACAAGGTCATCAATATGGTTTTATTATGAGGCATGTTTTTTAAGTAAGTACCGTTTTTAAATTTCTCCGTTCCAGCGCTGCGATTGACATTTTGGACATTTGCGCTGTGTAGGGCCTATGTGCATCTATTGGCAAGCCTTTGCCAGAAATTCTGCAACAATTGGCCATGTTTACATTCGGTTTCGAGCATTCAAAATGGTGCCACAAATTATGAGACTGCTGTCGAATGTGAAGTGCGCGCTGTAATTAGATTTTTAAGTGCTACAGGTGTGATAGCCATTGAAATTCATCGACAGATTAGTAAAGTGTATGGCGAGAACATTATGAGTGGCGTGATGGTACGAAAGTGGGTAAGGGCATTTAAAGACGGCCGCACCAATGTTCATGATGAGCAACGCTGGGTGGCCATGTCATTACTGTTGAATTGGTACGTAAAGTCAATAAAAAAGTGAGAGAGAACAGATGGTTTACGATCTCATCATTATTCTATGAGTTTCCTTTACTCATAATGTTCACGCCATACCCTTCACTAATCTGTCAATGAATTTCAATAGATTTCACACCTTTAGCACTTTAAAATCGAATTACACTTGAATTGCACTTCACAGTCGGCGGCAGTCTCAGTTGGCGGCACCATTTAAAAATGTTGAAACCAGATGTAAACACGGCCAATTGTTGCCGAATTTCCGGCGCAGGCTTGCCAATATATGCACATACACAGCGCAAATGTCCAAAATATAAATCGCAGCGCTGGAACGGAGAAATTAAAAAACGGGCTTACTTAAAAAACATGCCTCGTATTTTAGAATACCTATAATTTGCACACAAAACTGTGTATTAGATTGGCAGCCTTAATAATATTGTGGACTGCAATTTATAAAGGTCTTATAACGTTTTTTAACCATTAAAAATAAAAGTGCAATTTTTACATTTTTATCACAATAATTGTCTATTAAGGAAATATAAGTATGGTTGCTATTTGAAATTGAAATCTCTTTTTTCACAATCACAGGAATGTAAAATAAACGGTATCAGTAATCTGACACATACTTTCTCCCATAAGCTTGTAAACAACCTTTATCGTGGGTAAGCAGTGGGGATAAATATAGGTTTGTAAGAAAAATCACAAAAGTTGCAATAACTTTTGAGATGTAATTGTTACAGTAATGGGGGTTACATTATTTTGTTTAGAATCATAAGGAACATAACACATTAATTTTAATCAAAACCGTGTTTTTTTTCCAAAATCAGATTTGTTGTAACTTTATGGGAAAATAACATAAAGACACAATAAATTTTGAAAAGTTTTGGGATTTGTACCATTTTGTTCGTAATCTAAAGGACTTTTAACATACTAAATTTTCATCAAAATTGTTTGGGCCATTTTTTAGAAAATCCGATTTTTTTGTTATTTTATGGTTTGTTATGGGAAAATCCCCATTAAAAATCAAAATTTACAAAAAATTAAAAAAATTCTTGGAGATACCATGGATTTAAATTTGAACTTACATATGAAATTTAATCAAAATCGCACTACAGGTGTGGTAGCTCTGTACCCATATCCACACACACAGACACACCCACACACACACACACACAAAGAAATCACTTTGAAAACCACTTTTTTGGGTTCAGGGGGACCCAAAATGGATATATCCAGTCAAAACTCAAACTCGAAATTTTTTACAAAAACAATACTTTCTCAATACTATGTATAGAGGTAGAAAGTAAAAGTAAGTATGATTATAGCTTGTATCCCAGATATCTATTAAAGTGAAATACAAATCAACTTTGATTTAATGACAGATTACCAAATATATAACAAAAGTGAATACAAATACAAATACAATTTATCAACCTAGGTTTTATTTTTGAGGTTGTTATTGCAACTCTTGTCTTAATGTTTAATTACTTTCCACAGGTATTAAGAAGAGCCCAAAATGACCATGCAATTGTCAACGCTGGATTCTGCTTTAGCTTTGACAAGGCCAACATTTTCAAAGTTCTAACTAAACCAAGAATAGTTTACGGAGGAATAGCACCAGACTTTGTAGGTGTTTAGTAATATCAATCAAACTCTTAACTATTTATTGTTGATATATGTATATATAGTGATGTCCATGTTTACAGAGGTATTACTCTTTGTGCTTTGTGTACGGTATTCTCTTTTAAGTGGGTTTGCATTGCATTCCCGATTCAGGATTCAAGATGTCGGCTCATTAACTGCAGCCATATTGTATTTCAGTCAATGTTAATTTCAATTTATCTTATAATAAATAGTCTTGAAACATAAGTTGTGTTTTATTCAAGATAGTATTAAAAAGATAACACACATAGCCCAAAGAGTAATACCTCTGTAAACATATACATCACTATATACATATATCAACATTTATGTTTTGGCACAATGCCTGATATAGTTGATAGATATCCTTTATACAAGCTCAAGACAGAACATACTTGGTGAAATTAAATTGAGTAAAAATAACTAGTTGATTAGGTACCTAAATGATGGTTTGAAATTATTTTAGAAAAAAAAACTACATACACACACATTCTGTGTCAAGTTAACATACTCCCCCCCCCCTCCCTCTCAGTGCACAAGCTGGCCAATCCGCAATGTCATTAAACAGAACAGCTTGACAATAGGTCACTTTGGCCCTGAAGCGCCTCTAGGCAGCGATGTTAGAAATTCCCCCCTCCTACCACCAATCGTTAGCGCGCTCCCCGACAAGATTACCCCAATACATGCCCTGTCAGCTGATTTTGTGGAAAAGTAATCGGCAATTGCATGCTGCATCAACAAATCTAATAATATTTTAAGCCCTTTTTACAGACCTTTTTGTTTTGCCGTTTTCATGCAAAACGCAATTCTGTTTTAGATACATGAAATGCAACGTTGTTGTATCCTATCGGAAGAGTCATAATCACGTTTTGCGGCGCGTAAAAGGCATACAAAAATGTCACCATAGAAGGGTTTTTATAAACGCTTTTCATTGTGAGAACCAACATTATCACATATATGACAATAATTTGTATACTCACTCTGAACATGTATACTACATGTATATCGATTTGATCATGCCAAATATTGTTTATTACCGAGTTAACGCCTAAGGACTTGTCATCACCAGTGACAGAATCTGTGAAGCTGAGGTTGACAATGCAGGCGCCACAGCCACCTTCACGACACATGAACTTGGTGCCTCTCAGGTGGGCGATGTCTCTGATATAGGACAGTAAACTGGTACCACCTGCCAGGCCACCCACTGTAATACAACACTGATGAATACTTGTTTGATAATCTTATGTTTCTGAATAGAAACATCTCTTTAAGTCTTACCTCAACTTAAAAATGTTACCATACAGTATTACCTATCTTCAAACATCAGGGTTGTGAGGTGATCATAATGTTTTAATGGGTGATGAACCCACTTGGGCTGTCCGCCATAGACAGGTGAAATTGCACCCAAGTTGATAACATCCCTGACCTATACGGGCTTGGAACCCTCATTTTACAGTGGTGTCTCAAGGCCAGAGAGACATTACCTTAGAATAATTTGCAACAAATAAGACCTATCTGTCTTCCGCACTAACAGCTCTGGTCAACTAAAAGCCGAAGCATATTATTTTTAAACCCCACACATATAGCTTCAAAACCGAAAAAAATATATATTGTCACGTGGATAGTTATAGGTGGAAGTTTGGTTGTGTTTGTCTTGTGTCTAATATATGCAAACATTGAAGCTCAACTTTGCATGATTTAGAGTAAATTCACTGGGTCGTCCCCTGCTGGAGGTAAAAACATGAAAATGCTTGGAAAAAGTAGTTTTTATACATGTAAGTTGATGTGAAAAGTTTAAATTTTCTAACAGATTTAGTTAAAAAGATATTAAGCCGTTTCCAGACTTTTTTGTCACCCTGTATACTATCTATAAAAAAAATCATAACACAGTTGATTTTTACATTACAGACCGAAGATTACTTTCCCAATAGCCCTTGTATTCACAATTTTACTCTACAATAATTGGTCTGGGATCATATAATTCTACCAATATCAATTCAAACTTATCTTAGACTACAGTAGGGATTATGTGCTTGGAGTTATTCCTATATTATTATGATTGGGTGATGTTAATTTACCTTTTTGAATATTTCCATTGAGAGTAAACGTCACATAGTCATCTGCACGAAGTCTGAAAAGATAAAAACAAAAGATGATGGATGGATAACTAATATACCAGCTATGTCCACACTCCTGCCCTTATGTGTGTGCCAAGTGTATACCTCTTAACGCATGCCTTTGCGCAGATATAACGATGGACGCAAGTGACACATGCGTCAAGGCATGACCGAAATGAGTCGGAAGGAGCTCCATTCCATAGCGCACAGCGTAGCGCAAAACAATTCAGCAGCCTTGGATTTCTTGCTTTACAATTTTGACAAGTCGGCCGTGTGGTAGTTGTTTGAAGCATATTGAATAACTAAGAAACATCATAGAAGATTATCACTCTCATGTTGTTTGTGGGACATTAAAATAAATGCAATAAATTAATTGAATTAAAATCAATTAAATTAATTTAAATTAAATCAATAAATAAATCAAATCAAACAAGAAAATATTGAGTTTTATATTACTTCTTCATCCACATTGTCCGCCATGATTTCTTATGTTTTGGAACTTTTATTAACACTGAATATATGCCGCACCATCCCTCCTATCAGAATAGCGTAGTCTTCGTTCAATTATGAAAAGGTATGTAGAAAGTGAGGAAGGTGACGCATGAGTGTGAACAGCTGAAAGGCATGCCTCAAGGGGCGTGCAATACTGCTTTGGAACTTTTCTTAACCCTAAATATGCCACACCATCCCTCCTACAAGAATTATAGAATGTCATTTTCATCTAATTAGGAAAAGGTATCTGGAAAGGCAGGAAAGTGACGCTAGAGTGTGGACATCTAAAAGGCATGTTGAATTGAAAGCTATAAGGTACGTTGAAATTGAAACCGCACGAGTGTGGACTAGAAGTAATTAGAAGTGTTTTATTATGTGAGAGAAAACACTTTGTGATATTTGGAACAGCTGACAGTCTGAATTGAACTTTTGAAAGATATTTAATTCCTGAGTTTTTTTTATATTGAGTAAAACGGTATATCATATAACTACGAAATTACTCAAGGAAACAGCTGATGAAATTATTGTCATTATAATTTGTTTTTAAGCTTAAAATCCAATAATAAACTTGGACATACACTATCCTCCGGGTAGTAATACCATTGTAACACAGTAGGTACCATTCCACAAATATTCAATCACAGAATATAGTAAACTACGTTTCTAGTCCTGAAAATAGGTGATTACCGGACGAGTGTGGTCGTTCCCGTGCGAGACAAAGGCAGGTGTGGGATTACTATATACGAGTCCAGTAAACACAATTTTAAACGAGTAACGTACAATATTTTAAGCCATACTACTCTAAGCTACCTTAACAATAAAAAACCTGTACAAAAAAACCTGTTATGTTTCTGTTCATTACCACTCATTAAATAAAATCAGCTAGTGTCCGGTAAAAACTCATTACAGTACAGTAGTACGTAATGAAACCCCATTTGATTATACTGGCGGCAAACAGATGTTTTCTGGACTAAATCCTTACGTGTGAAGTTTGTTAATACATTGTATTGTGGTGTAAAACTAATTTTGACTAAATTAAATTAGGGTTGCAGATATTTCTTAATTGAGCGGTAGGAGTAAAATTTACATTTATTTTCTTTCCATTGCTACAAAATGTATTTTTGCCAAACTAAAAAAATATAAGTCCTAATTACAACAGCGTAGACCAAAATAGCGAGTTTTGTTTAACAAAACTTTCATTGCAAGGCAGTTTCTTAAAAAACTAAAATGTCCTAAGTTCTATAAGCAATTATACTTTATAAGCATAATGAATTGTATGCATTACCCAGAAGATCCCTTTTCCATAACTTTTCAACTGTTAGACCTTAAAATACTGTAGCTTGAATTCTTAGAGATGTTTTATGTAAAAAGTATAATGCTGTATTTTTTCCACAATCATCACAAACTTTCACTACTTTACACAACCATATTTTAAGTTACATAGATCTAGTCCCTTCAAGAAAATGTTACACTTGTAACAAAACTGGAAAGTATTATTACCGGTACTGTGTTTAAACAATGATAGCAAACTTTGCTATGCTAGAAAATATAATGACAGCACAGCAACCATATTTTAAGTTACATAGATCTAGTCCCTTCAAGAAAATGTTACACTTGTAACAAAACTGGAAAGTATTATTACCGGTACTGTGTTTAAACAATGATAGCAAACTTTGCTATGCTAGAAAATATAATGATTTATTTATCAATTTATCAATAAATGGAAAAGACAATAGACTAAGAAATCAAATATTATGTGAGAGTTAATACATGTCAGATAAAATTACAATTTGTTTCAATCAACACAAAGAATATTTAGTTTGCAAGAGTACTTTCCAAGAGTTTTATGCAACCCAGGAAATAATAATATTCTTTCCAGTTCAATAACCTACATACTTCCAACAGCGATTCATTCAAAGTTTCCAATATAGGTTGAATAGTAAAATTCAATTGTCTTGTTAGTTTTGTAATATCATTAATTTGTGTTCCAATTTGACTTATTAGAAGTTGGGCTCAGTTTTGCCACAACTTAACTCAAAAGCATTTTAGAATCAAGCCAAAAACACGAAAGGCCATTAAAAAAAACCAAAGGAACAAAAGGTTTTTATGGAAAGGCCATAAAGGGTATACATGAGACAGCTCCTTCTCAAACTATGTTTGTTTGAGTAATTAAGAATAATATTTAGTCTTTTATTAGTTTTTATTAGTTATTAGTATTAACTTCTATTAGAAGTTTAGAAAAATATGTAATAATTTTACACAGGTCAATGGTCAATATGATAGGATGTTTTAATTTGATGACTACTACATCCTAAATATATATCAAGAACTATATTATAACAGGACAATAACATATTAGCTCACTTGAAAAATATTCAAAAATGTTTA